AAAATAAAAAAAATAAAAAAAAAGATATATATATATGTTTAAAAATAATATGTTTACGATTTTTAATTTTATATTTTTAGCCATATGTTTTATAGGACTCCATATATTGTTGTTTCTTTAAAACAAGTGTATAAGTTAAAAACAGTGGCAATAAATTCAAGTGGTAGGATATCCTATTCATTTTTATATTTAACAAACATTTACCGAGCACCTATCAGAAAGAATTTAAGGAATGTAATACATTTAAAATAAACACATGAGGAAAACTAGACAACACAGATGTTTGAAGTAGCTGCTAGCTAGATTTTTTTTTTAACTGAAAGCTCTTCAATTGCTTTAATCATAAACATTAATACACTGACTCAACTGTAGTGTCCGATCCACTAGAAGTTTACCTTCTATCAAAACAGTATGTTGTGAAAGTTGTGAGAAAATACGATGAGTAACCTAGGGTGTTAATGTATTACTTAAAAGAACTTATAAAAATGCCATAATTTGTTTATCTGTGTTGCCCTAGGGCTAGTTCAGTGCCTGGCACCTAGAAGCCCTAAATAAATGTCTGCTAAATTAGTGGTTAGGTGCTGGAACACAAGGACACTAGGAAACAAAGGCTAACCCTAACCCTGGGGACTGATGATGGCAACCCCACGGACACTCCTCTTGTTCGAAGGTGGGCAGCCTGTCTAGCTGCCTATGGAGGTCTAATCACCAGCTCCCCAGAATTATGCTGTCCCCGCTCTTCCTGCTGGGGCTTGTTCCAGTACCTGCTGTCTCACACCTAACAAGTATCAGGATGGGTTAACTGCCAGCCCATGATTTGTGAGTCCCTTAAAGACACAAGGGGTCTCCTGGTGAAAGGCTACCTACAGCAAGCTTTAAAGCTTCGTAGTTCACATAAGTCCAAGTGAAGAGGTTTTAGTATAGAAGAGAGCTCCAGATGTATGCCAGCCACTGTTCACGTGGGAAGCTGGGGCAGTCCTGGTAAAATAATAGTGCTCTTTGGCACCGTCTGGGCTTACCTCTTTGGTAATACAAGGAAGCTGCTCTGCCAAATCATGGAACTTCATGGCATTCTCTGTTTCCTTAAGATCCCTGTAACACTAGAAATGGAGAAGAACCGATGTCAAAGGTAATCATCTTTTATGTAATGGAGTCAAAGTGATACTAAAACAGCCGTTTTCATTACCTTGGAAAGGTACATGTAATTGGACTTCGAAAAACCAGGGTGTAGCTCTTCAGCCTGATTTTCAGAGAAAACAGAAAAGAGAAAAACAGGGTGATATTCAAGCAACAAAAACCACCAGTGGAGAGGACATACTTCAATAAATCAAATATTCACCAAATTGAAGCAAACTGCCCTAAGAATTTAGGTTGGTTGTATCTCATCTGAGTCCTTTTATTGGTTTCAAAGTATCCTTTGGGTGCAAAATAGCTTTTTAGCTTATCCATTACAATGAAATTATTATCATGGTCATAAAGCTTACAAAGCAATGGGATCCTTTAAGGTTTGGGGATTTCTTTGTAGAACCATCTTCCCACTTCTTCTTCTCTATCCTTTCTCTCTTTTCCTTTAGAGAACAAAAATAACCGGTCGTGTACTCCCAACCAACTGAACCACCGGCAAGCATTCTAGGCAGCCACTAGCCACTGTTCAGAAAGCGCAATGAAATCTAGTTCTCATTTTAGACTATATGATCTCTAATTCCCTCTCAGTTCTACAAGATTAATCCTTGAAGCACACCCTGCCCCTGCCCCCCACCCCCCCCGCAAAAAAAATCAGCAGGTACAATATGTTGGACAATATCAGGTTCAAAGCCTGATTTTGTCTGTATTGTTACAAATCTGAAATCATAGGTGTGGGGGGTGGGGGATACCTTAGTACCTATAAGAATCTATAATTAGTTCCAGACAAAGGTGAGGGGATTAGCACAACAGGAAGTTGGTTATATATGTGGGTATATTACACATTTACATGTGCGCACACACATAGTACTGCTTAGAGTTTTATTCGTATAGCAATTATACATTTTAAGACACCAGTGAAAATACTGATTTGGTTTGATGCCCCAAAAATGTTTCATAGACTTGTCCACAACTTATGGAATGACTTTTAAAATAACTCTTCTTTTTGGCATCTTTTGGTTAAGATTAAACTGTGTCTACATTAGGCTAATTGGGAGTATTTGAGACCAAGTCTAATAATCAGGGCATAAATTCTTTTAAACATATTCCCATGACCTGCAGAGTTGTTCTTGGACTTGGTAGTAAGGGCTGTTGTACCTGGGACCTGGGGCATAACCAGCTGCTGCTTGGATTTAAAACGTAACTCACATTATGAGAGGCTTAAAACAGAACTAGGATTCAAACTGTTAGAGATCTACACGTGGAGACAAGAACAATTTCCTTGACAAGGAAAGGTAGGAAAGACTGACCCAGATAGAACCTAGTTTGACACTAAAATAATGGATAGACAAAATACACCTTAAGGAAATTTTGCAAAGCTTCTTGTATAGTTGAGGTTGGTATTTTTCCAAACAGAGTAGCAGCCATCTTTTTCTCAATCCAGCTCAGTTTCGAGACCTGTAAATGCAGAGCAACATCACTCTTAGAAAGTGTTCGCCTTTTGAATGGATAATCTCTTCCCAATTAGATGTTTATGTATGTAACTATGTACGTATATGCATATAATACATGTAAATACATATCCATAAATGAGAGATATCAGCTTTATGGTATTAATGTTTTACTTCCTTTTTCATAGTTCATAAAAACTCTGAACTCTTGAAAGCATTGGCTACAAAACCAATTTGAGATACCTGTAAGAAGATTTCAAATTGGGGTGGGGGTAAAGAATAATGTTAAATTAACTTTGTTCATCTGATCCATGACTCTCAGATGATGGCAAAATGTTTCTTGGCATAGAGGTACTAGCGACAAGATCCTGCCTTTGCTTTCTTCCCGCCTCCTCCATGCTGCTAACCTGACCCAGAGGGAAGCATCTCAGAAATTTAAACAGGTGGACAATTCTCAACCCCGAGGGAATGTAGAGTGAGGGCCCAATTTACATATTCACAATCCAGGAGACATTTTTAAACCAATAACCATCAAAGTTAAATTCCATATTACCTTTTGTTTTTTGTTTTCTTTTAAAACTTTTTCATTTTCCCCAAATATGAATATTAGATGTTTATTATAAAAGATTAAAAGGACTCAGAAATGAATACTTAAAAGGGTATTGATGCTCTTAATATTTTTTTGTCTTCTTGTCCTTTTCATTTCCAAAAGCGGTGGGTAAAAATTAATTACTATGTGGTGTCCTTAGATAATTTCTATGTGTTTTTATCTCTCCTTCATATTTTCCATCCTTTTGTTCCTCTGTTTTACATTCTAGGTAACTTCTTCAGGTCTACCTTAGAGTGGTCTAATGCTCTCTTTAGTGGTACCCATCTACTGCTACAACTTTTCAATGAGTTTTCTTCTAATGACAAATGATATACTTTACTGTAGTCCATGTTTCCACAATCTAAAGTCCTTTTAGAACTATTTCTGTTCTCTTGTTGTTTCTGTTGCTTTTCATTCCAGGTGGCTTATTTCCCGTGTACTGCATTATTTTTGATGGTGAGCTCATTATTGCTGGGCCTCTCTGCGAGAGATTTATAAGGCCTGTGTGAAGGCATACTCCTCCGCAGAGGATTAGCATGAGCTTCTGCCATTTGTCCATGGCATGAACATCAGGTTTCATTTTTGCACTAAAATTTTCTTCCTGGGTTTTTGAAGTCTAAACAAATAATATACATTCAAGTTCCAGACTCATGTGAGGTTGGGTCAATGGTTTTTAAACTATAGAAGAGTCTCCTACCTTTAAGAAGACTCAGATTCTTAACACTTAAAACTGGAATAATAAAAACTGCTTATAAGAGATTATTTGAGAAAATTATTATTATTAGAGCCATTATAGGATTATTTGAGATAAGAAATGTAAGGCATAAAATGCATATCTGATGTGTAGCAGGTGTTCAATAAAAGCAAGCTTCCTTCTTCATCCCTAATCCTCTTCAAGCCTCATTTTAAAAGTTTCCTTTCTTGCTTACCTGAATTTTCTCATTCAGAAATAGCATTTATCTTCATGGTAATTTTTCGTGCATTTCTTAAGTATTATTTTCACATTCTGTTAATTTTCCACAAACTAATGTCATTTAAGTCACTTGGTCTTAGACTTAGCAGCTGCCTTTATTTCTATATGTCTTGTGTCCCTTTCTAAATTAAAGTTTTGAACAAAAGGACAGTGCTTTATTTATCTTCTGGCCAGTGAGCACATAATTTATACTCAATCAACTCTGAATAAAAAACATCCTCCCAAACAACAGAGAGTAGTGCACCAACACCCCCCAAGAGACCCCAGAGGGAGATAATGTGCCTGCTACAGGGGAAACAGAAAGGCAGTAAAGGAAGAAAATTTACATATTATTTAAAATAAATATATAAAATGTAAATATAAAACAAAAATATGTTATAAAATATAAATTTATAAACTCAAAGTTCGTAATGTTTTTATCTATTTCCCTATAGTAGGCACTAGGTAAAACAATAAAAGAATGAATAAGTCACTAAAAATATATCATACAATCAGAATATATTCAAATAAGATTTATAAATAAAAACTTACAGCATAACAGTATCTTCCATTGAGGTAATACAAAAAGGGTTCTGCAGGTAATAATTGGATTGCTTTATCTAGATGTTCCTGAAAGAAAATCCCAAAGAAATATCATCTCCCAAGGTTTCAAGGTAGCGTTGGATGGAACTGTGACTAGTAAATTCAAAGGAGCTTTACAATGTTGTTTCATCTTCCTCCTCAATCCCTATCATTAACACAACTCATTATTATCAATAATTCATTACCAAACATGATTGCTCAGAATTAGAACTGTGACTATGATTTAATAAGATTACAGATACGTTAAAGCCAAAATCTATATATATAAAAGGCTAATATGCAAAGTGTCCCCTCGGGAGTTCGACTAGGAGAATGGGAGTTTGATGGCTCGCATGACGTGTGCTGACCACCAGGGGGTGGCGCGAAACATGGCGGGCAACTAGTAGTAGCAGCAGCAGCAGCAGTGGGACTCTGAGGGAGCAAGGGAAGTAGGAGGCGGGGAGGCAGGGAGGCAGGGAGGCAAGGGAACCTGATTGGCCCTGATCACCGGCCAGGCCTAGGTACCCTACCCGTGCACAAATTTCGTACACTGGGCCTCTAGTGTCACTATAAAAACAGAAAATATCCAGTCACATTATTATCTGCCTATGACTTGCCCAGCTAAGTTTTTGATTCAGAGGCAAGCTTACAAATATCAAATGATGAGGGTACAATGGAGGAAAAAATAGCAGAACTGGATGGGAGAGGAATCTACTCCACTGACATCATCAAATGGTTACAGGGGGTTGAAGAACAAAGAACTTTCTGCCCATCACTATAATTACTGAAACTGAGGGGTTATTTATTGAGCTATGACAACTACAGGCACACGATACATGACGTGTATTACATTACTTATTTTATTCATCTACCATGGTCATTTTAAGGCTGAGATTGGATTCTACTCTACCTGCAAATCGATATGCAGAAAATGTTAACTAATTAGTCCAGTCATGCTTACAGTATTGGTGAGGTCATGGCCAACAGGCTAATTCTCTATCTTTGAAAAAATTATACTCGTCTACTATGTGACTTTTTTCAAGATCTAGAATAATAATAATCTCTAATCACCCAAACAGTTTGATTCCTTTTGGCACAGTACTATTTGAAGAATGTCATTTCATTTTATTTAAATAAAAAGGATGAATTCGTAGAGGTTAATTTGTTGAATAATTTCATTTAGACACGTTAATGGAACATATGGCTACATTAAAACATTTTTGCCCTGCCATGGCCCAAAACATTTTTTATATCAAGAAATACCTTGAAGCAATATCCATAGTTGACTTTGTTTTGTAAGCCCTCAAACTCAGATACATAGCCACACAAAACCGCATACCTGAAAAAAGTAAAAACAGTGGATATTGTGTGAACGTCTTCAAATACCATCAAATATAAGTTAAAAAATGTCTTTGGCCCAGCTGGTGTGGCTCAGTGGTTGAGCATCAACTTATGCTCCAGGAGGTCATGGTTTGATTCCCAATTCGAGCATATGCCCAGGTTTCAGGCTCAATCCCCGGTGTGGGGTGCGCAGGAGGCAGCCAATCAGTGATTCTCTCTCATTATTGATGTTTCTATCTTTCTCTCCCTCTCCCTTCCTTCTGAAATCAATAAAAAGTATATCTCTAAAAATGTCTTTGAAGTAGTCATTAATATTTAACAAAAGTATTCACATGGATGCAAGGGCCCTGAAAACAATGAATACTTGACATGAATGTGAGACCAGTTTCCTCATCTATAACTGAGGACACCACCACCATCTATCTCATACGCATGCTGTGAGGGTAGATACCCAAAACATGTAATTGCTTGGAATACTGCCTGGCATATAGTGAGTTTCAAGAAATGTTAGCTGCCACTATCACCATCATCAACATTAAAGTCACAAAGAGGCTCTCAGAAAAAAATTTAATCATGAAAGCATTAAACTGAAAAATACATTGGATCAACAAACCCCTGCTTCTTCTTTAAAAATAAAAATTAAAATGTCATGGCCTCCTTTAATGTCATTTCAAGATAAAAATAAGTATGATGACTCAAACTAAATGAAGTCAAAGGTAATTGTAGAATATGCTTTTTCAAAAAAATTTCCCATGTCCTTCTACCCTTCCTTGGAAACACTGCATTACTAAAACAGAGCAGCCCGTGGATTATTTACTTTTTTCCCAATGGGAACATAAAATTTACATAAATAATTACTTGACTATAAATTAAATATGCTGTCTGTTCAGCAATTTGCTTACTCTAAAAATTGGGGATATATTACTTTTCACATTCAGAGTGCTTCTGTCTGTGCAAAAGTCTTTGGAGTATTTATTTCAGAGTGTTTCTGTCTTAGGCAAAATATTCATTTACCTAAGCATTTCAAGAGGAGGTGTTAATTTTCACTTGCATCATCCTAACTGAAACGAAAAAGGGAATTCTGGGTGTTATTGAACTCTGTTGTTTCTGTGGATAAGCGTAACTTTCAAGTATAGATATGAAGTGAACCATTTTCTTATTTTGGAACAGTAACACTGTTTCGGGACACAAACGATCACATAGTTCACATAACTTAGGCACAACCAATGAAATGACCACTTTTCAATGTTGACTTTTTGACTTCCTACCTTCCCAGTTTCTACATCATCAATGGAATCTGCGACTGTAGAAGCAAGAATGATGACTAAGTCAACCTACTAAAAGTGATGTGAACACTTACTAGATGAGCAAATACTACTACTCGCAAATTGTCAAATCAGAGTGCATTTCACATACATCTCTGCAGCCACCAGAGAATTTATGATGAGATGACAGGAGAAAGACTCTTGAGCTCATCAGTGGTAGCCACTACTGTCCCTTCGATGCTCTTTTTTAAAAAAATATATATTTTATTGATTTTACAGAGAAGAAGGGAGAGGGATAGGGAGTTAGAAACATCGATCAGCTGCCTCCTGCACACCTCCTACTGGGGATGTGCCCTTGACTGGAATCGAACCTGGGACCTTTCAGTCTGCAGGCCGACGCTCTATCCACTAAGCCAAACCGGTTAGGGCCCTTCCATGCTCTTTTGAAATGTTCTCTGTTCTGTCATTCCTCCCAGAGAGTTCCAGAATGTGGAGCAAAGTCCCACACAACTGCGTATCCAAACTCCTCACTTTTGTTATGGGTGTTGTAACTTATTTGGACTTAAAACCTTAGGCCACTTTTTAAAAAATAAACTTTTATTTCAAAGTAGCTTGTGATGTTCAGGAAAGGTGCAAAGACAGCACAGAGTTCTCATGTACCCATATCCAGTTTTCTCTATTGTTTTCATCTTACATTACTAGACTATATTTATCACACCTGTATCAATATTGACCTACAATATTGATACATCTTCACAATGAACCAACATTAACAAATTATTAACTAAATTCCACTTTATTCAAATTTTCATCTGTTTGTCCCTAATGTTCTTAAATTTTGACACTTTCTCCCCTTCCTTCCTTCCATATTATTCCTATTAATTAACACCTTGTTCTGTATCTTTTAACGTGAAGATCTTTTTAATTACTACTGTTATCCATCATATGCCCTGTTCCTCCTAATTTGTGCTATTTTCTAATTTTTATAAGAATGCCTTCTATATCTTTCCCCACTGACAAAACTACTAACCACAGTAGTGTTTAAGACATAGACCTGGAACTCTAGAATCATCTCTAGATTGACAAGGATATTGACAATCGCTATTCTGTGGAATAATGAGGCCCAAACCCTCCTGTCAGCATGGACAGTGCAGAAGCTTGCCCACATTTCTACATCTTGTTCACAAGAATTTTAGGAGTGAACTTGCCTTAATGCCTTGCTTAAATCCAGATACACTGGCTCCATTTCCCTATTCTATCTACTAGCAAAGAAAAAAAAAAGACCATGTCACATTTTAAGAAAAATCTATGTTGGGTCTATTTGAATGTCCTTATCCAGAGATTCAGAGAACAACCCAACTAACCATCAGGGCTGGAATTAAAGGAAAAGAATCTATGTTCACCGATCTACAGCGGTGGAATCAACCATCTAATTTCTGAAAATGAGAACTACTTAATGCACATGTGGTAGTTCTAGGCTTTTATAGTACTCTCAGCACATTCTCTTCAAGTTACTCTTAAGAAAAAAACACACGCGATTTATGAAATCATTACATGAAATATGTACATTTTCCCTTATAAATAATCTGTCACTAGAGTCTTCTTTTTTTTATAATCCCTTCTGAAGTCTGCTTCTTTAAAGTCTAAAGTACTATGTATCTTCCTACATATCATAAATTCACAATACACCTGACCACTTTTCCCAAAGGATCAGCACTGCTTTTCTGGCAATCAGTTCCACCTACGTCTCTGGGTGGGTGCTGTTGTTTTTTACATTGTTCAGCATTAAAAATGTAACTTAAGTTTTTACTTCCTAAACTCTCAAGTCGATGGGAACTCTGAAGAAAGTTAATTCACACCATGGTCTACTGCCTCCACCTAGAGGTCATTCAAACTACACGCATCTTGACAAAAATTCTGTATTTTATTGGCATTGATATGGAATATATCTTTAATAATCGACATTCTTTTTCAACAACTACTAAAACAACTCCGTTCATTGTCCTGCAGCACTTCTGCCTGAGCATGAATGCTATTTATACTGGACAAAAGCAGAGGAAGAATAATGTGATAGAATACTGAGTATTTAAGAATATAAGCTCTGCCTTTGTTTTTCCATTTGTTGTGTGAGCCTTGGATATTAATCTACTCATCAACACACACACAGCCTTGCTTACCTCATCTGTAAAATGAAAACAAGTTGTTCTGTGAATCACATGCTCCGAGGCATGTGGATATAATTTGTGAACAGTAGAGCACAACAAATATGTAAGACATTATTTATAATTAAGGTCAGGCCAATTTGGCTAACAAACTGCAAATCCATTGGTGGTTTTAGTCTCTTGATTCCAGAACAGAAAGCTTGTGTAGCCTTAAAGTTACAAAGCAATTTCATTCTGGAAAAGATGAAGATGAAAAACAAGCCTTTAAAATAATATGGTTTTTCAGTTATTCCCTCAGTGTTAGTCTTTTACGATAATTATTTCTAAGGATTTTGCCTTTTATTTCAAAATGAAGGCTTATAAACCATCACACAGCCCTGTAAACCATGGGTCTGCAAACTTTTGCTGCAGGGCCAGCTAGCAAACATGTTCGACTCTGAGGTCAGAGCGTCTCTGTTGCAACTATTCAACTTCATCACTACATTTTGGTTAGAAACACAGCATCATTTTAGCTTTTGTGTTGTTGTTTTTTTAAGTTATGTTAAATTAGTTTTAATTAGAATTTATCAAATTCAAAGCCCCTGGACTTGGTAGATTCACTTATGAAATCTTCAATAAAAGTTCACCTTAAATGTATTTAAAATATACACAATGAAAAATACCTGAGAATAAACAGAACAAGAACAGTTACTGTTATCTACTAAATAGGTTTTTCAGCGAATGTGACAGACAGGTTAAATAAGTCAATCATGTTTTTACATTTCATTGTAATTCACAGAGGCATGTTAGAATTTGAAGGCTGCATAAATTCTATGTACTTACCACAGATGACAATGTCCATTCATGGGGGCTCTAGTAACAGCTTTTTCACCTAAAGTCTTTCCTGAAAGATAAACGGACTTACAATTAGTACCTTCATGTGAGTTGGTGGAGGGCAGATTATTGAATTAAATTAGTGGTTTCCAAAGTATGGTCCCAAGACCAGAAGCTTCACTTGGAAACTTGCTAGAAAGCAAAAGTTTTGACCACAGGGGAATGTTTAAAATTGATGACTCTCAGAACATTTAACACTGATATACTTTAATTTTCTCAGTAGACATAAAAAAATCAGTTTGTTCCCTGTGGTTAAATTTTTATTTACCTTCAAGTTAATAACTCTCTTGTCTACATTTTGTCTATGGCCTGCACGATGAATTGCTGTGGAAAAACTGTCCCCATAAAGCGGATGATGAATATGTAAAGAACAAGAGGAGGCTTCCTCCCACCCTCCTCCCACTGAGACAGAATTATGGTGCAGAGGTCAACTGGCAAGGAAAACTACGGTGCAAGAAAAGTAATTACCGGAAGTTTGAAAATATTTCCTTCTTGGAAATAAAAAGGACAGAAAGAGAGACTGGAAAGAGGTCTGGAGTGCCCTGCTGCTTCTTCCTCTTGCTGTTTTAGACAAGGAAAGCTTGGGAAAGAGAGGACTTGGGAATGCACGAATTAAAGAAGTTTCATGTCAAATTATTGCCCTGAAGGTTGTCATGGAGTTGGCAGCTAAGGAGCGTTTTGCTGGAAAGGGTTTTGTTCTGCAGTGCGAGTCAAGGGGACATGCGTATGTATAGACACCTTGACATTCTGGCTGGTTTTCTTTCATTGTTGTTATTAAAGGAAAAGTTCAAAAATATGCAAAAGAGTATAGAGGACAATAAAAAGAACCACCATGTACTTATTACTCAGCTAAAACAATGATCAGCTCAAGGCTAATCTTGTTTTATTAAGATCAATTTTGAAAAAACATTAAAGTCTGAGTAGTTATTTCTTCATGGCACCCAGAGTTCTACGTTATAGGAAGTAAGAACGTTATTTTAATTGCAGTGAAACACTATTGCCTTCTGCCTGTTACTGGTTCTTGAAAATTACCACTTCACGTCTCTTCTGAGGTTTTATAAACATTAAAAGCTAAAATCTGAGTTTTTTAGTCGCCTATTCTATTATGCTTACATGTGGTTTTTTTTTAGTCCGGAAAAATTTTTTCCTGTCCTTAGACTATGTGTATTTTTTAGTACCAGGATATACTGAAATAGAATAAACATGAGTTTTAGCTTAGATAATTCAGCTTTAATTAAAATTCATTAGTGTTTTATTATTGCCAACAATTGTCACTTGAGGATAATCAATCTTTACAAAATACTTACCGATATTAGCATAATGTTTCTTTTCTTCTGTATTTGTAGATAGCTCATACATGTCTCCATAAGCACGAGCTAACCGCCAAATAAACTCTATTTCATCTCTAAACTGAAAAGAGAGAACTGCACATTAGATTAATTCACTCACTTGACCAGACTCTAAATGTTTTCCACTGTACCATCAAAAAGATTAGGCAGGTAAGCTGGTATTTATAGATGACTGAATCTATTCCTGTGCATATAACATTTTCAATTACAATATTCCTGGCTACAGAATGTGATTTAATATAGTGTTACGTATGGAACTGAAAACTAATTAATACTACCCAGGCACTAGCTCCCACCTACGTAGAAGAGAGAACTGACAAGTGCCAGAATCCATATATCCCTCTGGGTTGTAGTATCTTCTCATTTACTTTCTAAGTTATCGACTATTGATATGATGCTTCAAGGGACATTTCAGATAATATCAGATACTACAGATCACATAAGCTCAAAAGAGCAGTGTTTTTTTTTTTTAACCTAAATTACTTAAATATAATCCTGGAGATTTAAAAACTTTTAGACAATGTGTTTAGAGTTGCTAGATCCTCAAAGATTAGGCTTGCTCATTGGAAAGAGATTTCTTGCTCCGTGAGATACTGCAAACCCTTATTTGGTGGTGGTGGTGGTGATGACAATGGCAGGGATGGGCTTTCCCAATTCAGCCCAACATTAAACACTGGAAACTGACCGCTGGTAGAAGTAGATTAAAACACTGATGGTGTTGCCCCGGGTGGCTCGGTTGGTTGGAGCATTGTCCTGTACCCCAAAAAGGTTGCAGATTCGATTCCCAATCAGGGCACATACCTAGGTTAGGTTGATGGTTTGATCCCTGGTTGGGGTGCTTACCAACTGATGTTTCTCACATTGATGCTTCTTTCTCTTAAAATCAATACACATATCCTCGGGTGAGGATTAAAAAAATACTGATGGCTGTTACATGAATAACTCTAAGTTAGAAAACTTAAAATGTAGCTCTCCTCTCAAGAGTAGCAGTGTGCCTTGTTATTTATGTTATCAAATAGTTATTAAATATAATAAATTAACAAAAATCCAAGTAAATCTGTATACTCATATTTCTGGTTCTCATTTTTATAATCTTAGAACCTAAGAAAGTCGTATATATACTTTTTAAAACTATGTATCTTTTACTTATTTATTTTAATCCTCACCTGAAGATATGTTTATTTTATTTATATGTTTTTATTGATTTCAGAGAGGAAGGGTGAGAGAGAGAGAAACATCCACAGATGACAATGTCCATTCATGGGGGCTCTAGTAACAGCTACGATAAGATGAGAGAGAATCACTGATCAGCTGCCTTCTCTGCACGCCCCCTACTGGGGATCAAGCCTGCAACCCAGGCATGTGTCCTTGACAGGAATTGAACCTGGGACCTTTAGTCCGCAGGCTGATGCTCTATCCACGGAGCCAAACCAGCTAGGACTATTTATTGATTTTAGAGCAAGGAAGGGGGGAGAGAAAGAGAAGAAAACATTGACGTGAGAGAGAAACATGGATTCATTGCCTCTCACACAGACCTCAACCAGGGACCAGACCCACAACCTAGGCACGTGCCCTGAGTGGGAATCAAACTCATGACCTTTTGGTGCAAGGGCGCATGTGCCAACCAACTGAGCCACATCACACAGGGCTCTTATATATACTTTTTTAAAAAATATATATTTTATTGATTTTTTACAAAGAGGAAGGGAGAGGGATAGAGAGTCAGAAACATCGATGAGAAAGAAACACCGATCAGCTGCCTCCTGCACACTCCCCACTGGGGATGTGCCCGCAACCAAGGTACATGCCCTTGACTGGAATCAAATCTGGGCCCCCTGAGTCCGCAGGCCGATTCTCTATCCACTGAGCCAAACCGGTTAGGGCTCTTATATATACTTTTTAAAAATTTTAGTCATATTAGAGAAAAATTTTGTATCCATCATTTATCTTTTGTAAACTGTGACACAATTGTAATGGGCATGATATGAATAGAATCATAGATTAAATAAAAAATTAAAGCTATACAAACTTGTTAACATATATATCTTACCTTTTCTTTGTGGTCACAAAGTAGTTCAAAACTCTCCATCTTTTTAGACTCATCCATACGTAAGTTATCTGCCTTCTGAAGAAGGGCATCTAAATTTAATTCCTCAACATATCTGTTAAGTGCTTTACGGACTGGAAAACTTTGTTCTTCTGTATCAGTACTAGCTGTAATATACCTAAAATTGCAGAAATTATATCAACTCTTAAAAGTTATACTCCAATAGCCAGAGTGATCCTTTTAAAATGCAAGTCAAATCGTTCCACTCTTATGCTGAAACCCTGCTATGGTGCCCCCTTCACTCAGAGAAAATATTCAAGTCCTCACAAGCGTCTAGAAGGCCCTATATTTGTCTCCCAACCACATCACCTCTCTGACGTTGGTTCCATACTACTCTTATCATTCATTCAGCTCCACACTGGCTGCCTTGCTGTTCCTTAAACATGCTAGTCATACTCCGACCTCAGGACCTTTGCTTGCTCTCCCCTCCTTCATGTCTCAGCTCCATTGTCATCTTCTCAAATGTGGCCCATCCAGACCACTCTATTTAATACTGCAACCTCCACACATTCTCTTCATGGCCAATCTCTCTTAGCTTGGCATTTATTTTCTGTAATATCATCTTCTAATACACTATATCATTTACTAATCTATTACAGGTGCTACTTTTTATCAGTATCACCCCCACTAGATTGCATGCTCCCTGACAACAGGATTCTTTGTTTTATTAACCAATGTATCAAGTGCCTAAAACAGCATCTGACACATAGTAGATATGCACTGAATGTTGTTGAATGTATGATACAGCGTTGTAGGAACTCAGTAGGCATTCAAATACACACACACACACACACACACACATATATTTATAGTTCAAGATAATGTTCTCACTCTCAACTTAGGTTTTTACAAATTCATGCTACCTTCCACATTTCCCTTTTTTGGTGGCATACAAAAACAATTTGTTTTCATTTATTCAAGCCCTGTCCTATTCTAAAAAGATTTTAAGGCGGTATGTAAGGATACATAACATATAAGAGAACTAATTAGAAGTAGTAAAAAAAAGATAAAACCAAGGCCAAATGTGAGTGAGGTCAATAAAAACAATACATATATTTTAAATCTCTACATCCTTGCTACGAGGGACACAAATGTCTGTATCTTCCAGCAGCCATGCAGTTACAGCCCCCAGCAGATATTAACAAAGATATCAATGAAACAAGTTTTTGAGAGAAGTGCAACTATTTCCAATATAAAATAAATTTATTTCAAAGTCCTTATAACGAAGACACTATATGAAATGATATTCAGCCTCTTCTACAACATTATTAATGGAAACTTCATTCTTCCAGTTGCTCAAGTGAAAAAACGTAGAATCATCCTTGACCTTCTTTTTCTCTCCTAAGCAATATCACCTGTTAGAAATTCTCTATTGGTTCTATCTTCAAAATACATCCAGAACATAGCCACTGAAAACTGCTACACATTGAGAAAACTACAGCACATTGAAAAAGCTTCAACACATGTGAAGGCACAAATGGAAATCTCATGTTATCGGTTTGAAGACTTACTATTGTCAAGATGTCAATATTACCCAAAGATTCAGTGCAATCCTTCTCAAACTCCCAACAATGTCTTTTGTAAAGACAGAAAAATCCATCCTAGAATGCATATAGAAGATCCTGAGTAGCGAAAACAATCTTGGAAAAGAAGAACAAAGTTGGAGGTCTCATACTTCCTGATTTAAAAACTTATTACAAAGCTACAGTGATCAAAACAGTGTGTACTGGCATAAAGTCAGACATATACATCAATAGAATACAACAGAGCCCAGAAGTAGACCCTCACATATATGGTCAAATGATTTTTGACAAGACTATTTAATGGAGAAAAAAAGAGTCTCTTCAACAAATAGTGCTGGGGGGTGGGGGAGCCAAGGGCGGGGAGTAAAAAAACAAAAATAACATCTTAGCCCAATGACAAATATAAGGAACATTTTATTACGATAATTGAAAATAATGCAAATTCCTTTTCTCTAAAAAGATTAATTCTATTCTAACTTAAGTATTTTTAATTGCCTATATACATTGTCCATTCATTATTTAGTCTGATAAATATATTTATAAACTTTGTATAATATAATAGAAAAATATAAAAATATTCACTCTTAAAAATAAAAATTTTAGAGATACTTTTTAAAATAAAAATTTTATTTGACAATTTAAAAATAAAAATGTTGGAAAAAACCTGAAATGTATTAACTTTAAAAAATAAAAATTACTAATATATACATTTTTTATTTCAGAGTTCTCTGAATTCCCAGACACATGCATACATAAATGTGTATTAAAAGTATTTAGTTAAAATATCTGGTTTCAGTAGTCTACATATTTCCATGATAATGTTTTTACATATAATTTTTGGTCCTTGTATTAGTAAAAACATCATCTGTCAGTGAAATGTGTGGCATGAGAAATATAATTAAGAAGTCTTATGTAAATGAAAATTTCTGAACTGATAAATATGGAAATATACAGGGTGGGACAAAAGTAGGTTTATAGGTGTGAGTATTATTATTTACTTGTTGTATTATTTCTCATACGAACAACTATAAACCTACTTTTGCCCCGCCCTATATATATATTATATAGGAATACTATCTCCAATCATGAGACAAGGATAAAAGATGTTAAACTCTCAAACAATGTAATACATTTAGAAGACCTATATATCAAAGCTTGACGTTATTTTCAGACCACAAATGTATTACAACAGTCACTCAGAAATCTGGGCCCTGTCAATCTATAAGTAGTAAATCTGTTAAAAGCCTGAAACACATGAATAATGTTTGACTTCCATATTCCAATATTATGAATGAACTATTTTTCAGAAAACACAGACATTAAAATTAAATATAAACTGCAACATAGCAATCTTTTTCAGAAAATGGAGTGAAGCTTAGTAAGGGAGGAGGCTTCGGGGGAAAACTGGGAAGTGATTTCTACAGACTGTAGAGTACGCCTGGTAGGAAAACTTCGGATTTGAGCTGCCCTTCTAAGAGAGGATAAAATCTGAGGCGACCTTAAGTTAGGAATTTCAATAGGTGAAGATTTGTCTTCATCTTGAGATGACTGAGCAATATTTCCACCATCAAAGCAATTTGAGTTAACTTCCATTAGAACTGGGGTAAACTTCCTACTAGGTTTATAAAACGAAGCAAATGCAACATTAGGGGGAACAGAATTGGCGCTTTCAGAGGTCTGCTGCTGAATCACAGCTGGAGGACTGGCTCTGCGACTCTGAACATCAGGAGGAAGGAGCTCTTTCTTTGGTTGGCTTCTTTCTTGTGTGTCACTGGCAATTTCTCTTTTTTGATGAGAATAGGAAATGCGAGTTGGGACAGAAAGGAAGGTTGCTGTGCTTGGTCTGTAGGGATCTCTAGCAGCATCTATCGGATTGGCCGAGGAATGAACTTTTGTTTCAAAACTTATAAAATGTTTAATGTTATAGTCAGGAGAACAAGAACTTAAGTATTTTTCAACATCAGCAATAGTTGAGCTTTTAGAAGCTACTTGAGTTTCACTTGGATTGTTCATGTACTCACTACTTGATTGAAGATGAAGATCAAAATACATAGAGCTTTCATAACAGGAAATTATACTTGGTTTACGGGTAGAGAAGTGTCTCCGGGATCTAAGAGCAAAATTTTCTGGGGAAGTTTTTAAATTACTGAGGCTGCTTTTGTCTTCAGAATCAAAGTTAGCTCTACTTTCTTGACGCTGAAGGGTAACACTGCTTTTCTGAAATTTACTGAATAAAAAAAAATGTCTATCAGAGGAAGATGAGAAAGCAGATATAGTTGATGGAGTAGTGAAATTTTTACTTCCTCTACGTATACTGACTTTTTGTATTTTAGCATAGTTTGCAGGGAGATCATGAAAGTTAGGTTCACGAGTAACAGAAGAGGTCCCATGGTGCAAGGGGTCTGAAGTAACTCGATCTTCAGGACAATACTGTTGGAAGTTCTGGTCCTTTTTGTAGCAGCTAGAGTGAGAAAAGTGTCAGATGAGGAAAAAAATAGGCAGCAGACGTGGAAACCTCCCAAGCCTCCTGAAGAATAATATCCACCTTATCAATATGGAAACAACAGGGAACAAGGAAATTATAGCAGCTAAAGCAGATGGTCACACAGGTATCCAAAAGGATGCTAAGTCTAAAAGACTGTCTCTAATTACCTCTACGTACCTGCCCGGTCTATTAAACCTTGGGGAAGAGAAATTGAAAGACTTAGAGAAGCAGGCAGAAAGAAAGATCAGGGGAAACACACGAGAGGGCACAAAACGAAAGGATCCCCTGAAGGAAAAGGTAGAACTTTCCATCTTAGAAAATAATAAGCCATAATATCTGCTTGAGAATATTAAGTTCCTCTAGTGATAGGAGTTAGTAAAATAAATGTATACCATGCATTTTAAAATATTAACCACAGATTAAACAGAATCACTCGCAAGACTATTTCAGATAAATATCCAGATATCCCAGTTATTCAGTCACAGTGGGACACTAAAGGAAGCATTAAAGCTTGGTTTATGAATATATCAATGAGCTTTAGCACATAAATATACAGAAATTTTTTTTTCTTTTTAAAGGCTTACCTTACACATTTTCCCATATTAAGTTTAATCAAAAAATAAATCTCTCCCTTCCTTTCTAAGCCATCATCTTTAAGCCATAAAATGCCTGTATAGGTGGAACAGGTCAGAAGACTGAATGTTTAAGTTGCTTGTGGAATTAGCATGGCAATAGCACAGAATGTGATGACAGCAGACTCTAGAATCCAATGACATCAATTTAGAATAAAATTGTCCTGCGGCTCACCTTTCTGAAAAGCTCCAATCCACGTGACTGTAGAATATGTATTCTAACTTTGTCATGTTTAAGGAGTCATCTAAGAAATCAAGTGATGAGAAAACAGCAAAATGAAGGCCATAACATATACAGTATATTGGCACAATCCTTTGCTTGGGATGGTCTCTCTTACTGGCTGCTCTCCATACCCTTGGCCTACTAACTCATTCTTCTTTCACCAAACATGCTTTACCCCAGGTTTTTACACCATCCAGTAATACGGAAAGTGACTACGTATTATAAAACTTGATCTGAAGATATCCTGAGAAAGTA